AAAAATATTAATTTTTTTGGTTTATTACAAATGTATACTCTTCAAAACCTTTATAGAAAATTACATGTAATATTAATTAAAGATTTTGTTATAAAAACACCCAAACATTTAGCAAAGTATCTCTTTTCGACTTTCAAAGTATCTCCTTTCGACTTTGTAAAAAAGAAGGTCAAGTGAGTTGAGTGAAGACAGGATTTGATGTTTGGGTCAACCTTTAAGTCCAAACTGCAATTCTTATCTAACTCTCATAGCTTCCACAATATCAGCTTTTTTATCTAATCCTCTTTCTTATAATCCTTCAAAGCAAGTGCTGTGAATTTGGCCCTTGTGTGCTTGTGTGGACATCACACCATACAAAATCAGAGGTGTGGACACTCAAGAGAATAACTGTGAGAATCTCATTCCCGGCGGCACATGGGATCAGGTTGTAGGTGCCAGGACGGAAACGGAGAATGCGACATTTGCATTTAAAAAGGTGACATTTGCGATGCTGCTCTGGAGGTGCAGAAATGAGAGAAGAGACAGGTGCTGGGATAGCCCGGATTCATCTCGGTGACAGAAGTACGACAATGAGAATGTCAAAGCCAGCACAACAAAACACACATACTGTATAAGCATGCTCCGGAGGCTTCTGTCGAAAATACCACTGACAATCCACCCCTCATCTCTCAAACACACGTGGAGATAAATTGGTGACTGTTCAAATCGACTTTTACCTCATACTGAAGCAATTGTGTAAAAAAATAAATAAAAAACAGCTGAATCTGTTGAAGTCACATTAAAGTTCAGACAGGGTGGTACATGCATTATTTATGCAATTTATGGAATACATTATAATGTAAACACAGACTGTTTAGACCCGAGGAGCATATGATTATTAGGAGTTTAATCATCTTCATTGTTTCTGAAGTGTAGTCAGGGCACTTGGAGTTCAATTGGCAAAGCTGGGGCTGACGAGACTAGGATTCTGATTGGCTGCCATGAGCTCAGAGAGCTGTACAAATAATGTACAGATTCATGCAGAGTGCAAAATGTGTTCTCATAATTCCTATTGTTTTTGAAGATGGCCAGATAATATTGCCAGACTTAAAATTATTCGTTGAATTTATATAATGAAATGGAAGTAAACCTGTTGCATTTTTAAACAAATGAACTACAAACCTGACAAAAGCGACAAAACAAATAATAATTTGACTTCTAGTTGATTATTTGGAAAATCATTACAAAATCACTCATTACAAATACTGCAGAAGACCTATTAGAACCCGCATGGACCCAAAAATCACACAGAAATCAGTCCGGTGAAGTTTGGTGAATGAAAGTCATGGTTTGAGATTACATGGGGGCATGCTAGAGATCTGCAGAGTTGATGGCAACATCAACATCCTGAGGTATCAGGACATTTGTGCTGTCCATTACATTACAAACCACAGTAGAGGGCAAATTCCTCAGCAGGATAGCGCTCCTTCTCATACTTCAACCTCCACAACTAATTTCCTGAATGAAAGAAGGTTAAGGTCCATTGGCCAGCCCAGTCTTCAGACTTGGACATTATTAGGCATGTCTGAGGGTAAGATAAAGGAGGAGGCATTGAAAATGAATCTAAAGAATCCTGATGAACTCTGGAAGTCCTGCAAGAATGCTTTCCGATCCAGATGACATTTTTATTAAGCTTTTGATTAATTGCAGAAATGTATGGATGCACTCATCCAAGCTCATAGGAGTCATACACAATATTAATTCTTTTTCCATTGCACCATGACTTTATATTCTATACTGCACTTTATTTCTGTTAAGTGACAAGACTTTTGTCATGTGCACAAAATAATTTTTACTTTTTAATATTGAAACATGTTGAAAGAAAGATAGAGGTCCCATAATGTAATTCAAAACATAAACAGGTAAAAACTACAAAATAAAAAGATGATTAAAAAGAAAATAAGAACAACTTTCAATTTACAGTTATTTTAGCATTTGCTGGATGAGTTTATTTATTTATTATCTCTGGGTACTGTAAATGCTTTCATCATTAACATCTGTTAAAGAAAAAGAAAAAAAGCTATACTGGATTTGCCTCAAAAATTCTAAATTAAAGTGGTCTACAAGCTAGTCCCTAATTCCAAATAAAAATAAGCATCTCATATTTTCACACACCTCCCTTGAAAGACTATTATCCCTAATCAGGATATTTCATCTTTAGTTTCAGTGTTTTTGTACCCGTGTGTTTTTGTTTTCATCAGAGGAGATAATTAGTGGGAAACAATTACCCTGAGTAAAGCTTTACACACCATAAACAATATATTGTTACAATATATTGTCTTCCAAATAATAGTATCAGAGTTTATTGAAATTCAGGAAGATCTGAATATTAAATATGCAAAAGCAAATCAAAATAAATAAAAAAAAGAAACACATAGCAATATACTTTAAGCAGCATTATGGAATATTTGCAACTGACTCTATGGTGGGAAGATGGGAGTTTATTAGACAAAGCTAAATAAAACTTGAAATATAAAGCACATGCTTTACACAGGCTACTACTCTATGTACATTTTTGACAGACAATGCAGTGCTGACTTCGATTTAACAATATTACATTCAACAATAATGTCACAACACGCAAATGTGTGTACAGTAAAAAAAAAATTATCTTGAGGCTTGTAATTTTCATATACAATTGATGTGGTTATTAAAAATGATGGTCATATTTTCTTGAATGATATTTTGGATTCATTATAAAATATTGGGAGGATTCTGCTAATAAAATCCAGAGATAAATTTCACTTATTTTTTAAGGAAACCAGTGCAGTTATTAGGCTTAATTTGCGAAACCAATTAAGCTAATAAAATTGAGGAAAGATGGCTTCGTGTTTAACAATTTAAAAGGTAAGCCTTAACAGTTTATCATTTGTATTGTCTTTAAAAAGTTCATTCTGGAAAGACACATGCTGTTCAAGCTAGTTCAGGAGCCTAGTTTAATCAGGCAACATTTAAGAGGGGTGGACAAGTGAACTTGTTGGTTAGCCTAAGCTAGTATGTTATGCTATATAGCTATTCAGTGGGATGTATGCACAGCTAGTGCTTTTCCATTTCATAAGGTTCCTTTTACAGCATTGATGATGTTATTTAATTAACTGTGTTTTTTTATAATACCGTATATAAATACTAATATTTGTTTGCTTATTTTTTCAGATTAATGAAGAACAATTTTACAGTATTTTCCCACAAAAGAGGAGCAGTTTATGGGTGCCATGCAGCAGGTATTTTTTATAATGTTATTTATGTATTATTATTATTATTATTATTATTATTATTAGGCAATGTTACTAATTTCTACACTTTTATTGCAGCAGACCTCACATTAAATCAGGGAGGAGATGAGAGATGTTGTCCTCTGTTGCTGGTGTATTTGTATGAAAAAAAACGGAAGAGCTCACCCAGGAGTGCAATTTAAGTGTCTTGAACTGATTCAGATATTTCTAGTTTTCAGAAAACTGCCTTTTAAGTTTTTGCATTTTTACAAAATAATAATAATAATAATAATAATAATAATAATAACAAACACTACATTGTTGAAAGCACTATTCCTTTTAAATATGATTTGTTTTTATAAACTTATGTCTTTGTCCACTGTTATACGTTTTGAAAACACCCTGTCCACTATTAGTCAAAATACTTGTATACTTGTGTTAAAGTGTAAGTCAGCAATGTCTACTCAAACATTTTGGAGAATTACAGTTTACAGAGATACAAATAAATGGTTTATTTCCTTAATGTATTTACTTAATGTGTTTTAGTAAACCTTAAACATTTGAAACGTACAATTGCATAATTTCATAATAATAAACGTAATGTTTACTTTACAGTGTGGGAATGCAGAGAATTGCTGTCTGCCAGAGGGATGACCAACCATTAAGACTTCTGCATTGTCTTGGAGGATGAGCGAGTGACGGCTGGCTTTGAAAATCTAGAATTGCTGAACTGGATTTATACAAGTATTCCCCAAATTAAAATCACCCAAAAACAAACTTAGAATAAGTTTCTGACACAAATTCACTGCTAAAACCTTTTGGGGAAATTTTACTGCATTGACTGACATGTGTTGCTATTATTTTGAGATACGACTTTTTTATTTTTAATAATTTTAGAGTTTGTGTAAAATGTGACTATTCCTACTAAAGTAAGATGACAGAACTTTTTTTTTCCATGACATAAATAAAGGACTTTTTTTAGAGCTTAACATTGCTGTGAATTTTAAATAGATTTGTTTAAGAAATTGTATGTAAAATTTAGTTATCAGTGGAACATGTAATAAAATGATATTTGGCAAAAATGCATTGTGTATGAGTTTCATTATAAATGATATGGATTACATTTTATGAATGAGTAATTTTTATTATTAAATATGAGTAAAAGGTGGTTTATTTGCTCAAATTATAAAAGCACAATCCACCAATAACATTAAAATAATCATCTATCACTCATAAAAACTAGTAATTTTCACTTGATTCATTCGAGTGGTTTTTGCTAAAAAAAAATAATAAATATGAGTAAATGGTGGTGGATTTGCTTAAATTATAAAAGCACATTTCACTAATAATATTAAAATCTTCACCTAACACTCAAAAAATTTAATTTTCACATGATTCATTCAAGTCTTTTTGCAAAAAAAAAAAAAAAAAAAGTTTTCAAACTACTTAAAAATAATACGTGGAATAGTGTTACCACTATTTTTTTTAAAGTAAACAACACATAAGAGGCGCTCTTTTAAGGTTATTTTTGTCATTTGTAAAAGCCCTTGTTTAAAGTACCATTCAGTTTTACTGTAGAAAACAAAATAGCATAACTAGCATTATTATGCTAAATATCTTCTTGTGTATTTTACTGAAAAGAGAACCTCTTAAGGGCTTAGAAGCACATTTATAATCTGAACTGAATTATTTATTTAGGAAAAGATCATCAGGAAAGCAACCATTTCCCAAAGAAAGAATAAATCTTACCTTCATTAAGACAGACTCGCTGAGCTTTTCTCGGTTTACAATCTTTATGGCAACTTTCTGACATGTAACACAATGGACCCCAAGCTTTACAAGACCTAGAGGGGAAAAGAAGAAATAATAGACTTTAAAAGAAAAGCATTGGTCTGCAACTGCAACATTTGTCTGGAATACAGCAAATGTTTAATCACAACCCCACAAAACCTCTCATCGGTTCTTTTCACACACCAAAGCACAAGTTTTTCCATTGGCATCTGTGAATCATTCACATCTGAAGACAAACTGCATCAAATATAGTCGATGAGCAAAACCGTGAGTGGAACGGATAGCATGAAGAAACCTAAAGGCCTTTCTGCTTTATCACTTATGGAGTTTCATGGTGCATGATCAGCACGCTGGCTCAAGGAAATCATTTCTCCGAACAAAATGCCACACGGTTAACGCTTTTATTAGTCAAAGTGCTGAATGTTTACAGGCTTACAGATTCATGCATCATCGTCCCCTCCCTCCTAATACTAAAACATGTTCAAGGACTTAGTGAAGAAAAATCTTTAGCGTAAATACCCCAGGTTTTTCCATGATTGTTGAGTAAGCTTTTTCAAACAGGGGGAAAAACCTCCAAAGTCATTTGCTGCTCGCACATAGAAGAGTTTGAATACTTGGGTAGATAGACAGGGCTCAACGTCTGTGCATGACAAGATAATGAATGTTTCATTTCCTAAGGTGCACACGTATCGGAAAACTGACAAGTGCATAAATGAAAAATGCTGTGATTTGCAAAGGACACAGTGAATATTTTTAGTTTGTAATAAAGTGAAAGAATGCCACCATCTTATCCCAACAACACTCCAAAAATTACATTTGCTGCATGTTCAAACTATATTTAAAATAAGCTGAATCAACACAGGGTGGCATGTGAGCGCAATGGTTTGGACTGTCGTCACATAGCAAGAAGCTTGCTGGTTCGAGTGAAGGATGGGTCAGCTGGCATTTCTGTGTAGATTTTGCATGTATTCCTCATGTTCGTGTGAGTTTCCTCAAGGTTCTCCTGCTTCCCCCTACAGTCCAAAGACATGCACTACTGGTGAATTGAATAAACTAAGTTGCCCGTAGTGTATGAGTATGTGTGTGTGAATGAGTGAATTTGTGTTTCCCAGTACTGGGTTGCATCCACCGGGTGAAACATACATTGGAATAGTTGGACGCTCATTACACTGTGGCAACCTCTGATAAATCAGAGACTAAGCATTGTATTTGTATATGTGATGTCTTTTTTATTTAATGCCATGTCAGCAACCAAGACTATTTTATGGCAGGAACATTTCAATAATAAACATGCAATTAAAAACCACAAACAAATGAATACATACATTAAACAATATTTTTAGTGTTAATACAGGCTAAAACTTCTAAAATCTTTAAAGAGAGTTTTAAGAGAGTTTTTTCATAAATGAAAAAGTCTTCTGGACTCATTAAAAGCAGGACAGTCCAGTAAAATGTGTTTTATAGTAAGGGGAGTTGTGCAGTACAAACACTGTGTAGGGTTTTTACCTTGGAGCAAAAAAAAAAAAAAAAAAAAAACATGGGTCATTCTTGTATGTCCAATATGACATCTGGTACAAAACCACTAGATCAAATCTAGTCCTAAAATGTCTAAAAGTTCATAATTTATTCTTTTCCAATGCATCCCATTCCTCTTGCAACTTTTTAAAAATGTAAACATTGATAAAAGGCCTCATCTCTGAAGAAAGAATTTGGCATGTTAACCATTTGCTTCAAAGCGTATATAGGAGCTGCATCAGCTCACTAAGGTCCTGAAACTCAACAATGTTGTAAAACTGATTTTTTAGTTGGTGAACTTTAGTTAAAATATTATCAATCAAAGGATGATCATTATTTGAAGATTCCCTAACTTGGAGGCATGATTTGAAGTCTGAAAAAATTATAGATTTATTTTGTTGGACATTTCCTATATATTCCAACGCTAAAGTAAAGCACGGGCTTCAACTGTGAATATTGCACATTGTTTTTTTTAAAGCCATTTTTGGCCAGTTTGCTTTTAATAGATAGGACAGGGTAAGGGTTGGAAAATGTCCTCAAGCTGGGATTCAAACTCAGGATGCTCTGATGTGCAATTACACCATATGCTGGCGTGGTAACCCCTAGGATATTGCACCGACATATTAAGTATTCCTTAGGCAGACTGATTCCCTAATGTTGTTTCCTAGTTACCATTGTTGCTGCTGCTACGCCATTTTCACCAAGATGAATTAATGAATGGGTGAATGAATTAACACAGTTGATTCATGTTAAATCCACTTGGGTTTGTGTAAAAAAATAGTTAACCTAATCAATTTGTGTTGAATAAACATGAAGGAGCTATGTAGAATTTAAGTTAAAGTGCAAATCCACATACAGGATGACACTGAACAAACACTCCTCAACAATCTCTGCTGCCATGTGACTCAACCGTTCTATGAGCTAAAGAATTAATGTGGTTTTGAGTTTCCTTAGAGAGATAGTTCAGTCAAAATATATATTTACACCCCGAAATCCAATTCCAAATCTGAAATTCCAAATCTGTTTGACTTTCTTTTTTCTGCTCAACACAAAATAAATTGTTTTGAATAAAAGTTGTAAACATGAAACTATCGACTCATTTTATATAAAAATTACAAGCATCAAGCTTTTTTTTTTACTGTACACACATTTGCGTGTTGTGACTATCGTGTTTGTTTTTATTCATACACTCTCAGAAATAAAGATACGCAAGCTGTCACTGAGGTGGTACCTTTTTAAAAGGTACAAATTTGTACCTAAAAGGTCCATATTTATACCTCAAAGGTACATAATAGTACCTAAAAGTACAAAAGTGTTCCTCTTAAAATTTATATGTACTAATATATACTTTTCAGGTACCAATATGAAACCTTTAATTACAATATATCTTTTGAAAAGGTACCACCCCAGTAACAACTTGTGTACCTTTATTTCTGAGAGTGTACTATAGAAGTCTATGGTAATAGGTTTTCAACGTTTGTCAAAATATCTTTTTAGGTATTTAACTAAAGACAGTAAGTCAAACAGGTTTGGGACTACTCAAGGGTGATTAACTTGTTAGTAAAATTATTTATTTGAAAGAACTATCATTTTAAGTGCAAAACTGACCAATGCTGAAGAGGTGACAAAACTCAAAGACACCAAGTGGCATATACATTAAACTGATTGATAGTTTGGTTATTAGGGTTATGATGATTTCAATAAACACTATTCATCTCAATCAGGTTACTAGCACCTGAGGTCATGGATCAGTAAGTTGTTTACATTCATTTGGCAACTAATAAGCACAGGGCTATTGAACTCGGATCCTCAGACAACACTTGCCCATAGGATTAGCCTAAAGGAACCAGTTTTGATCAGGAGTGTTTCATTAGGGTTGGAACTAAACTGTGCAGAATTACAGCCATATTTAGGAACGGAGTTTGACACTTGTGTAGTAAGGACAGTAATAAGTTTGCTTTACTATACGTTCGGAGGCCCATGAAAATGTCCTTGTTGTATGATTTAATTGTTATATACACCCTTTTAATCATTAAACAATTATAAATGTTTGCTAGCATGCCCTTAACCTGTCTGGCTATGTCTGTTCATGATAAATGTAATTGAATAACAGATTATTAAAAAAAAAAAAAATTTCTGATTTCATTTATTAAAAAAACATCGATGTGCCTACTTTTCACAGTGCATTGTTGGACTTTTTAGGGTGCAGACATTACAGTGCAGTGCAGAACTTTGCTATTGAGACTGATCAGTGCCCCGATCAATGCATCCATGGTGTGCTGATTTCTTTTTAAAGGTGCACCTCAAATCATTGAATTCATTTGTTCCAAGAACTTCCATGGCCACAGTTGTATAAAATAAAGCACCAGGGCATGCAGACAGCTTCTACAAACATTTGTAAAAAATAAATAAAATAGGTCATTCTCAGTGCCTCATTGAATTCAAGCATTCTACTGTGATATGTTGCCGCCTTAGCAATAAGTCCATTCCTGAAATATCCTTACTGCTAAATATTCCATGATCAAATATTAATGGAATTATAACAAAATAGAAGCAACTGGAAACAACATAGTGGCCTACACAAAGCTTGTCTAAAAGCCTTGTAAAAGGGGCTTGGGGTGAGAATGGGGTCAGGGCATGCTGAGGTGCATAGTGCACAGAAGTCAGCAACTTTCTGCAGCATCAATAGCAACAGACCAACTTACTGTTGCCCTCAGATTGGCTAATAAATTGTGCACAGAGAATGTGCATCTAAGAACTGAGACCGATATGATACACATCTCAATGCACAGCCAACAATATGATATAATATGAAAATATACAAATGAAAATAGACCATTTGCAGATTTCAAATCTGTAATTGTCATACCAAAACAACCAAAATACTCATCACAAAATAATGTGCTAAAAATGAGTATAAATATGAACGAACCGCAGAGGATTAAAGATACACAAGAAGAACTAAACGATACGATGCGATTGACCACATCACGATGCAGTACACTATGGACAATTCACCTAATTCACCTATAGCGCATGCCTTTGAACTGTGAGGGAAACTGGAGAACCCGGAGGAAACCCACATTAACACAGGGAGAACATCCAAACTCCACATAGAATTGCCAACTAAACTTAACCCAGCGAAACTTCTTGCTGTGAGGCAACAGTGCTAACCACTGAGCCACTGTGCAACGCATATAGGGTTTTTCAAATGGGAATATATATTATATGTGGTAAAGTCCTGCACTCTTCAGAGCATTTACTTCAGGTAATCTGCCCTACAAGTGATAAAGTGAGAAATACAGTAGATGGAATTACATTCCAATGTCAGTCACAGCAAAATAAACAATAATGACACTTGATAGCAAAAACATTCAGTATGTATCCAATCATCAAACGTTAATGACCAGAAATAAAGAAAAAATAATAATTTAAAATTATTAGGTAACCAAAAACTTTGAGAAAGAAGGAAAGCAAGAAAGAGAAAAACCAACACTCAAGACCTTCTGTCAAATCAAAAGGATCGGTTTATGAGGGA